TGTATGTATGTATGTATGTATGTATGTATGTATGTATGTATGTATGTATGTATGTATGCTGAGAAGCGCCAAAAACTCCGCTTGTTTTCTGAGTTCACATGTGAAAACAGCCACCACTCTGCACCATTTTCAGCTCTCGTGCAGCCTGATCCGTGGTTCCGGAGCTCTCACAGACCTCCGAAGCGCAAAAATGGACCCAAAACATCCCACAGCACTCTGGATCTGGTCCTAAAAGATGGCAATGTTTTTTTTTCACGGTAAATGATCTAAAGATATCTAAAGACACATCGAGGATATTCAAGTGTGTGTAGTATTAATTTTCAGGTAATCGGTAATCAGTTCAGGCCAAACAGCCCCTCAATTTGACGACTCCATTTCGGGATTTTGTAAAACCATGTTACCTATTATTTTGCGTTCAGATTAAGATACATAGTTAATTGCTCAAGACCCATCCAAGTATAGAATTTCAAACCATATGCAAGCCCTAAACCAATTACAGCAATGACACATCCCGTCAACCATGACTGGGGTAATTTGACAACATCCCATTGCTAAGCCTCTATTGGGCGATTTTTTATGATTTGGTTTACTACGTTAAATCGCCATTAAATATCATAATTCTCATTAAATCCCGTTAATTTCCATCAAATCCCCATTAAATAACCATTGAATAACCATGAAACAACTATGAAATTCTCTTAAATCACCATATATTGATTCATGTTTGATGGATTCCACAGTAAATCATCATTACATGATAATATATCATAATATGTATCATCACAATCCCGAGAACATAGGGTTAACTCCCCATTCCTTTATTTGTAAAATTGTTTCCCATATTTTCCCATACTATTCCTATCATATCATTCCCATGATATAGTTGTTTCGTCATTTTCCAAAGTTGAAAAACGCCATGTCGATCCAAACCTTCCACCCCTTGTTCCCCCCGCTTTTTCCTGACTTTTCCCTTATGTTTGTTCTAAGTTTCCCTATCATTTTCCCATGATCTTCCCCACCTGCATCCATCTGCGCCAGGTCCTCCGTAGCGCCTCCCCGCTGCTCAGCAGCACTGCAGCCACACTGCGGCGCAGCCCGTGCTGCTGCGCCGCCAGGCGCAGGAGGGGACCCGCGAAGCGCTGCCAGGGGCGGAAGGCTGGGCCGCAGGCCGTGACGCCTGGGGACCGGGGTGGGGATCTGGTGGTGACTAGGGATAAATTATAGACGTTTCAGTCAATGGATTGGTTTAAGGGAAAATCTACAGGAAACCATGGTTTTTACCATCAAATATAGGGGGTTCCTGTAAATTTTCCCATCACCCAATTCTATGTTTCAGATGGAAGAGGATTTGCTTACAGATTCTGATATGTGTAGATTCTTAAATGGATGTTTTAATTGATGTTTACCATTTTTTTTGATTTTGGGTGGGTTTTGATATACCCTCCAGTAAACTAACAGTTCGCAATGGGAGTCATGGCCCATTTAGTTCAATGAGATACCTATTTCACATGGTGATAGGGAAGGGAAATGCTGATAGATATGTGTTTTTTTGGTCTGGTTTTGGATTCTTCATGTCTATCCTACAGGATTTACCAGGGTTTGGCCAAAAATAGGATACTCCCAAATCCACTGGATTGCGGCCAGGTATACTCCATTTTCCCACACCCAGATGAAGGGCCCGAGGCCGCCATTCGGAGATCATGTTCCAAACGGTTTCAACCATGGGTTCCCCAGATCTATGTGACCGTTTACTCAAGGGTAATTGGAGTAATCCCATAGAAATATCATAGAAATATCATGGAAATCACAGAGGAATCCCACAGAAATCCCATAGAAAAATTTGGGAAATATATGGAAATATGCAATATATACAATATATATATATATATACACTAGGAATCAGTAGGATATGAGATGATTTTTCGACAAGCCCGAACAGGGCCCTGTTCTGTTCGGACCCTGGCTGACAGACACTTCCAGGATCATCCACCAAAAGGCCAACGATGGCCAACGACTTATATGAAAAAAAAAAAATTGCAAAGGCTTCTCAAACTGAAGGACCAAAGGACCTCGAAGATCAAGGATTTCCTTCAGTTTCCTATCATGACTTTACAATGAGGAATTTCATTGGATTGCTTGGGTCCCCATCTTCAAGATGATAGGTCCTAGTAGCCTACTATACCATCTCGCAATCAAACATAGCAATGAACAATCATCCAACTGATTCTGTTCATGTATTTTCACAGCTAGAAACCTCCATTCATAAGGATTGTCCCATGTTTTTCACATATATTCCTATAGTTTCTCATATGTTCCCATGATTTTCATGATTTTCCCATGACTTTCCAATGTCCTGATGATTTGCCCCCGGCAGCTGCAACCAGAGACACACTTCTCCAGCGCCTCAACGGTCGCTTGCAGCACGGCAGCCGTAGGTCGTGCGGTCGAGAGCAGGGTCTTCCGGAGTTGGCTAAGGACTGAATGTGGAAAGGCACCTGGCTAGGAGTCACTGTTGGGTACCCTCCAGTAGACTAACATACCTATGGAAAATCACCATTTTTAAACGGTAAATCAACTATAAATGGCCATTTTCAATAGCTATGTCAGCAGCTATGTTAGTTTACTGGAGGGTAACATTGGGTTAACTAAATTGGATTTTTAGTACCCATCTACCCAACCTTAGCCAATCTTGTTTTAGCTAGGTTGGTGAACCCCAACTAGATTAACTGTTGGGTAGATGGGCACTAAACCAACTTTGGAGGCTTCCAACAATTTCTACTTATTTCTATGAGGCTACAGCTCAAAATTCACCAGAAAGTCCCTCTCAAAATCTATTTTTATTAGATATTGAAGAAAATGGATGAACTTTCCATAACTTTAACCATCCATATTTTTTTTGGCCAGCCAACCATAGGGACCACCTGGTAGATCTTCATCGCTGCAGAGCTCTCGCAGGCTGGCATAGTCCTGCCACGTCGATGCCGAAGATTCTCAGGTATCCAAGATATGTATGAATGTATGTGTATATATATATATATATATATGTATGTATATATATATATGTATGTATTTATATTTATATTCATACATATATAAATACTCATAATTACATATATATATATATATATCGTATGTGTAGAGAGAGACTACATATAGCCTATGTGTATATATATATAGCCTCATTATGTGTAGCCGATTGTGTACCGTGTATTGAACAGAGAATTTGGGCTCTTAAATCTGATGAACACTCCTGAGCACTGATCAGCACCTTTTCACTCAGTCAGCTCGAAGGTAGCTGAAAGCACTAAAATGGCTGCAGCACATATACAAACATATATGCTACATGTGACATAGTCTACACTGTACACATATCTGATCACGCCTCCCGAGCCTGTTTAAAAACGGCGCTCCCGTCCAATTATTTGAACTAGGCGAGTTTTGATATGTACAGCTACTCATAGCCACGCTCAAGCCATCTATGCTCTCAGTGTCAGGTGATGCTCACCTTCCAGAAAGTGAAAATTCATATTTCGCAAGGCTTTATTCATTTTCTCTGCTATGACAGGTTTCGTCAAGACGTCGGCAAGCATATCGCCAGTGTCGACCTTCTTCAGCCGAAAATAGCGCTTGGCAACGCGGTCTTGTACCCAATGGTATTGAGTATCCACGTGCTTGGCCTTGCCTAGTCCTCTGCGAGAACCCATTGCTATTCCTGCACTTGCATCCATGAAAACTTCACTCTCAGGTTGCAAACCCCAGTCTTTGGCGGTTGAAACTTCTCCGAGCAAATTGCTGGCACCGCTCACAAGAGCGTAATACTCACTCTCTCCAGACGAAAGACTGACTACTCCTTGTCCTTTAGAGTAAGTCTTGATACAACAACCTCCGGCCATCAGGACGCCTCCTGACACGCTCTTCCTCGTCTTCACGCAACCAGCGTGGTCAGCATCAGACCACATCACAAATGGACTGAGTTTGCTCTGATGAGGAAAGAATTGTGCCATGCGTGGTCGATACCTTAGGTATCGTGCAACCCGTTTGAGCATAAGCATGTGGCTGGTAGTTGGTCGTTGTAGCCCTTGTGCTAAAGATCTTGTCGCTACTTGCAGATCTGGTCGATCTTGTGCCAAATAAGCTGCTCGCATTGCAACTGATCTGTACTGGGTTGCTTCTTCATCATTGAGAAAAGCAGTGGCGTTCTTGAGGTCTTCCACTGAACCCTTGGCAAGTGGTGTCTTGACTTTGGCTCCTCGGGGACCATCTCCGAGTAAATCAATCACCAACTCTGCATGACGTGCATCTGGTTCCCACCAAATTCCATTCTCCTTCCATGTGATAATTCTGTTCAGGACTCTGATGTCCTGGATGGTGTTTGGTGTTCCTGGTGGTCCTAAAATACCACGTTCCACACATTTCCACTTCTTCGACAGCTCTTCATGAAGCCATTTGATGTTGTCAAATGTTCCGGCTGTTGTAAAATCATCTCCATGTACAACAGTTCTGAGGTCTCGGCCTGCATGGTAGTAAATGCATGGATTGCTTTTTCCTTGCTTGAAACCTAAGGCTAACATAACCTTCTGTATTTGCAACTCCCAGTTGAGAGGTGCGTCTCTGGTTCCATACAAAGACTTGAGCAATCTTCCTACCACATCTTCTCCAGGCTTCTTTGCTTCTGCAGGAAGTTCCACATAGATCTCACGTGTCGCATCTGAGTAAAAGTGGGCGCGTTTCACATCCAAAAATCCTAGAAGTCTACGCTTGCGATAGGCTTCCTTGACAGCTTCTCCAGCGTCTGGCAACTGAAACGTGACGGCTATTGTAACTAGCATCTTCAAAGCCGACAAACTGGGCATAGCTGCGAAGAACTCATCAAAACCTGAGCCCTTCTTGACTTCTTGAGCTACTAACCTACTTCTATAAAGTGGATCCTCTTCATCCTGCTTGTTGACATCTACCCATCGTGTTCCAATGGTGCGTACCCCTTTGGGCATCTTGTGTCTGGGAATCTTTTCCCAAACTGGAAAACTTTCGATGATTTCGACCTCATCTTTTCTGGCTTGTTCTACACCTTTGCTGTCTAAAATCTTTCCACTGATATCATCGTAATAATACCATGTGGCTGCTTCATCTTCCAGTTCTGGTGGAAGAGGAATTGTCTCTTCACAAACTGGCTATTCTTCACCTTCAATGGACTGAAGGTACTTCTCCCGATCTTCCATGATCAGGTTCATAAGACATTGGTCTATGTCATCCATGTCTTCTGGTCTCTCATTCTCAGGTGGCCGTTTGGTGCCCTTAGACGCCTGAGCTGAAGCAGCTCGGCTGTCCTTGGACTTTGACGTTTCGCCTCCTGAGTCTGCAGGTCTTTTCCGACCTTTGGTTGGAGACACTTCCAACCTTTTGTGTGCTCTTTCTTCTTGCTCGCCTCCTGCCCTCTTGGCTGAGGCTGTGCTTGCGCTTGCGCTTTCTGCAGGCGGATCTGCAGCTTGTCCGGTAGCAGGACTCTGCCTCGCGATAGCAGGTCCAGCTGTTGGCAAACTTGGAGCAGATTCCCCTGTGGCTGAGTACCACAGTTCAGTGACGATATCTGCGTCATCAATCAAAGGCGCGTTGATGACTTCATCTCCTAAACTAGGATCCATTGGTTCAGACTTGATAATGTTTCCTGTTTTTGAAATCTCTGGTGACTCTCCACCAGACATTATCCCAACTGGGACCTTCTGGCATAGTACCCTTGAGATACCTTGCATTCTTGTCAAGGCGCGCAAACACCTTAAAACCGTGAGGAACTTCTTGTGGTTTCTCACTCGAATACCCATAAAGAATCTTTGTGCCTTCTTCGGACACTTCTTGTTTCTGACCAGTGATTTCAGAATCAACCTTGGCCGTATGTTGGGCTACTCTCAGGTTGCCCTCTTCTGCTTGAAGCAGACGTTCCATCCTTTCTCTGCAGGCTGGAGTGTGATGAACTCCAGTGCCTCTTTTGCCAATTCTAGTGGCATCACAGGCGACACAACCAGCGGTGTAGGGAGAGTCACCAGACATTATCCCAACTGGGACCTTCTGGCATAGTACCCTTGAGATACCTTGCATTCTTGTCAAGGCGCGCAAACACCTTAAAACCGTGAGGAACTTCTTGTGGTTTCTCACTTGAATACCCATAAAGAATCTTTGTGCCTTCTTCGGACACTTCTTGTTTCTGACCAGTGATTTCAGAATCAACCTTGGCCGTATGTTGGGCTACTCTCAGGTTGCCCTCTTCTGCTTGAAGCAGACGTTCCATCCTTTCTCTGCAGGCTGGAGTGTGATGAACTCCAGCGCCTCTTTTGCCAATTCTAGTGGCATCACAGGCGACACAACCAGCGGTGTAGCCATACTTGTCCAAATCACGTTTGGTGATGTAAAGTCGTCTTGTCGACTTCTTTGGTGGCTCAACTGGCACTGATGGCGCCAGTGGCTGCTGATCTCCCCCAACAATCTGAGGAAGCAAAACATCATCTCTTTTTGATGCTTGAGGATCCCAGGGAACCCCAGTGACTGACATCAAAGTTTCGGCATCATATCTGTCGTCAGCACTCTTGCGTCGAATGCTTTGCACAGTGAAAACACCTGATGCATTTCCCACTATCTTCTCAGTGGTATTGTCTTTGACTCCCAAGAAAACTCCTTGGTGCCATCTTTGTTCAAACTTGTGACCTCTTTTGAGGAATTCAATTGTTTCCCCAAATGGTGGTAATGACACTCTCCACTCACGACCACGGTGTCTAGAGTACGGTGTCTTCCCATCTTTGACTTCCAATGATCTGTGAAACAAGTTGTAAGTGGTGCTAGCATGTTCAACCAGCCATGTCAAAACTGGGTGGTCGTCTGGCACCTTTCTTCCATAGCTTGTCTCCAAGGCACTTCTGAGTGTCCTGGATTGAGATTCAATAGCTTGAACTGCTCTTTCAATTTCCCCTTTGGATTCTGAGACTCCTTTGGGAACTTTTTCCAAAACCAACTGTTTGTCAAAACCATTCTTGGCTGCCTCAACTACGGAGTTGAGTGCAGGCTCCGGGTCATACCTCATGACCATCTTGGGGTACCCAAACTTCTTAAGGTCATTCAAAAGACACTTAGATCCAATAGGACCTTGGGTAACTCCCTTGTATGGCAAAACGTGTGCGTAGGTCAACTTGGACCATCGATCATGTACTATCAAAACTGGGGCATGCTTTTTCTGCACTTCTTCTGTGATGACAGTGTCATCCACTGAATTCATGAAACAATAGTCAGCTGAGATCACAGGAACTGTTTCATCTGAATGATCTACTTTGACATGTCTCATTGCCTTTGCCTTACCTCGAATGCAATGTTCACACCAACTCCTAAAAGGATAATGGCTGACAAAATGCTCTTCTTTTTCTCTCTGCGTCGGCGCTGCTGCAGTTGGTAGCGCTTGAGAACCTAGCTTACTACTGCCCGGTTCATCATCTCCACTACCTGCGCTCTCTGTGGTCTCCACAGGACTTACGCCTTCAACCCTTCTATGGGCTGCCCATGAAAATCCATGGCTATCTTGAAGACTCCTCCAGTCATTGTGATTGGTACCTTCTTGGCTCCCCTTTGCAGGAACGATCCTTTGGGGCCGAAGGTCACTGTCCAGCCTTTCTCAACCAGCTTGGACACAGATAGCAATGGCTTTGCCACATCCATTGCCCGGAACTGTCCCACACCTTTAACTTGTGGGCCTCCTTTCTCACCCATTGTCACCATGGGGTTGCATACGCCGTGCACCTGGACTGGCTGTCCTGATGCATTGGTAAACGGCTTCTCATCCACAGGCGTCATAGCCAACTCCAAAGACTGTGCCAATTCCTTGGGTAGGCAACTGGTTGCTGCCCCTGAGTCAACGGTGGCCCAGACAATGGTATCCACCTGAGATGCCAAACTTCCCAGGAAGTCGAGGTTGGAATCAGATCGAACTCCTCCTCTTGGTGAATGCTTCCTGGGCTTGGGAGATGGCGTTTTCTCCCTCTTCTTCCTGGCTTTTCTTTCCATGTAGTTAGCTGCATCACGCACCGTCTTCTCCAGGAATCTCTTGGTGCCCATGCTGAACTTTCCCCTGCCCTTGGACGCCTGGGCTGAATCAGCCCGGCTGTCCTCAGGCGCTCTCGATGGGGATTTGGACTTCAGCTCGATGGGTGCTCTGGGTGCCTCTTCTTCTTCCTTTTCTTCTTTCTCTTTCTCCTCGACCTTCTCTTTCTCCCCTGGCCTCTTGGGGATCTTCTTCACCTCGGGCTTCACTTCATCTTTGCCCTTGTGCCTGAAGCGCTCGTAGTGCTCCTCAAAGCTTTGCTTGCGCTTCTTCCTTTCTTCATCCTTGGCAATCTCTTGGCGCCTCTTCCCATCTTTGGCTTCTGCATCATCCATGGGGCGCTTCTGGGATGATTCTCCTTCTTCTCGTGCCTCTCTCTCTGCCTTTACCTGACGATGTTCTTTCTTCCAAAACTCCAGGGCATACTGAGGATAGCATTGCTTGTTCTCCACATGTTGCCAAAAGCTTGCAACGCTCATGGAGTTGAGTGCCTTTCCACATGACTGGCACTTCACATAGGAATACCCTTTGTTGGAGACAGTTTTGCACTTCTCATGCAACTCCTTGAATGGAATGGGTCTTCGAAAGGAATTCTGCCAATGCTCGACCACATCCTCCATGCCTGGGGCTGGCTCCTGGTTGTAGGGCAAATCGTCTGGATCTGTCTCATCAGAAGATCCTAGGTCAAGAACTTCACCATAGGCTTTCTCGTAGGCTTCCTTCAAATAGTTGTCCAACTTGCTGAGGACTTCAGGATCGGTTTTCAGCTTTTCAAGTCTGCTGACAAACTCATATCCTTCAGAGGAAATGCTCTCCTCAGAGGAAATCTCACACTTGTCATGGATCCATTGTGGGATCTCATCCTTGCTCATCTCTTTCATCTTCTCCTTATTGGCCTTCTTCCTTGCTTCATCTGCTCTACGTCTGTCAGACCAATGACGTCCTCCTCTGTGGCGCTTAGGTTCCAGCTTTCTTGCTTTGGGAGGTTCAGGAAGATCTCCCATGTCATCCTTGTCCCACTTGTCAGGGTCGGCCTGTCCAAAGGTGGCCAACTCATAGCGCTTGAAGCTGGATGCTCTTTGTCCAGCAGTGGCTGCTCGATGACTGGCAGCTTTCTGCCTGTCCTTCTCCTTCTTCTTGGCAGCTCTTGGATGTACTCCAGCATCAAGGTCGGCTTGCATCCGACGAGAGGGTGCAGCCGGTGCTGAAGCAGCACGGCCTTCTGCCCTCACTTTGGCCATTGCCTCTTTGGCCTCTTTGTGATGCTGGGCTGCCTCTTTCTTCAACTTGTCCAGGGCTTCTTGGCGTTCCTTAAGAGCTTGATTTGCTTGACGCCCTTTGTCCTGAGCTTCTTTGACAGCGCTCTCAGCCTGAGCAATCATCTTGCCAAACAGCTCCTTGTTAGACCCAGAAGCTGATGCCAAAGCGCTCTGAGCCATGACGATAGCGCTCCTGGTCACAGTGCTCCTTGAAGGTGCTTGAAGGTTTGCTCGTCTTGGACTTCGACCACGACGAGAAGATTCATCTCGAGCTTCAGACTTGGGTGGCATAGTGTCTTCCAAGGCAAACAGCGCAGTGATCTCTGGTTCAGGTTGATCACCAGATGAGGCTGCAGGTTGTTGCTCTTGAGCCCAAGTGTCGGACTCAACATTAGCAACTTTACGACCTTTGCCTTGATCCCCTTTTCCTTTACCTTTGTCTTGACCTTTCTTACCTTTGCCTTTGCTCTTGGAGTCATTGGTATTCTGTTTAGACCAAGACTGCTGATTCCAAGATTGATTGTTCCAAGACTGATTGTTCCAAGACTTGTTGTATGAATTGTTTGACCAAGACGAAGACTGACTCTTTCCTTTGTCTTTACCTTTGGACTTACCTTTGCCTTTCCCTTTATCATGTTTTCCTTTTCCCTTACCCTTAGCAAGGGAACCCACATCCATGGGAACGGCTCCTGACTTTGCTTCTTTTCTGGTCTCGACATTCTCGAGATAGGCCAAAACTTCAGCTTTCACCTGGTCATACGTGGTCAATCTCGAAGCCTGCAAGTCCAAATGATCTTGCAACTTGTTGGGACACATCTGCTGCAAGCAACTCCTGCAGATGTCATCTTCAAGTGGTTTCTTTCTCCTGTCTTCGTACTTTCTTTTCAAGTTCTCCCAACTCTCAAGCCCTTCTCGAAGCTTATCAAGACTGCATTGATTCGGATGCAGAACCTTTTTCAACAAGGCTGAATTGGCTTGAGGATTTTGAGGATCATATTTGCACAACAGTCGTCTCATGGCTTCTAGGCCAAAGTGGCTACCACGAGATGTGTTCTTGACAATTTCCAACGCTTCTCCCTCAGTCAATGATATGAGGGCTTGTCTAGCCTGAGCTGAAACTAGCTCGGCGCCTTCATCAAAGTCTACTTCTAGACTTGACTCAGTGATCTCTTTGTCACACTGAGATTCAACTTGTGCCACAATCTTCACAGCATTCTTGTGGCAACTTTCAACCCATGTCTTAAACTTGTACCACCAACTATCCCAAGTGCCTGATGCTCCATGAACTTATCAGGTTTGGGTATGCCTTTCAACTCTGATCTGTCTTTGTACTCAACAGACCTCTCAACATTTCTGTTGATCTGTAGCTGCTGGTTCATAGCCTCGGTCATTGCCTGATTCAACTGCGCCTGACCCTGAGTCAATTGGGCCATCATCTGCATAACCATCTGGGACATGTTGGGACCGTTGGTCTGTCCTTGTGCTGGTGCTGGTGGCGTGCCTGGTTGCTGAGGTGGCTGCTGTTGCTGAGCCATCCTTAGTCGTTCTTCAGGTGCTTTGAGACCTGATTCAAGAGAACCCTTGGGTACCTTTGGAGATGCACTCCAAGGTTATGGAAGTATCTTTGGATTTTCCTGATTTTCAGGAGCTTGAGTGTCAACCTTTTCCAGTTGGCACTGGGTAGGCGCGCCAGAGCTGATGCAGCTCGGCGTTGACACCTACACATTCACAGCTGGGTATCAGAACCTCAGCTCCGCTACCATGAACAGAGAATTTGGGCTCTTAAATCTGATGAACACTCCTGAGCACTGATCAGCACCTTTTCACTCAGTCAGCTCGAAGGTAGCTGAAAGCACTAAAATGGCTGCAGCACATATACAAACATATATGCTACATGTGACATAGTCTACACTGTACACATATCTGATCATGTATCTATACATATATTTATATATAGATATAAAACTGCAGTATATATGCACTCCACGTATGTATGAAAAATATTAGCGTAGAGATCTAGCAACATGATATGTATGCTGAGAAATACAGTTCATCCATGTTCATCCAAACTAGCTCATGTCGCGCAATCACCCAATTAAGTTAAACATAGCATAACATAGTTTAAAAAAACAATCGATAGAACAATGAACGAATAAATAAATAAATAAATAGATAGATAGATAGATAGACAAACAGTTAGATAGATAGACACACAAATAGGCGGGTGGTAGAGAAATAACGGGGATATAACCGACCAAACATGACCAAATCAACCAGCATCGAGGCAAACACGCTGGGGGCATACCAGTGATTTAATAGGAACCAACACAGGACACGCACACGGAGAAATCCCTCACTCTTTCATTATGTATAGGTATGTGTATATGTGTACGGATACGTACTAGTAGGTATGTATACTTATAGTAGAATTGTTATATATATTATATATCTATAGAACTGATATAATATGAAATAGATGCTTACAATAATCACTATATATAAAACTGAGATTGTCATACATACTATATGTACATGTACAAAAAACCTTAAAATACTATGCAGTAATCATACTGTATATGGATGATCCATCTCCTTCACATCTTCTGCTACTTCCGGCCGCGACGCCAACGACGTTAAGTCGAGTCTCATCCATCCGCAGGGACTTCGAAGTTTTTCCGGGTGCCAAATTCTCCTGGCTTGGGAGCCCGGAGAATGTCTGGTGGATCCCGGTGTCATCAAAACATGGCTGGCTGGGAAATCTCCTGTAAACATGAAGGTTTTCGCGGGAATGACATAGAAAACTATGGGAAAATTATGGGGAAAACAGTATGAATGGAGGTTTATAGCTGGGAAAATATGAGAAAACACATCAATGTTGGATTCACTATGGCCATTTCGATGGGTTAATTTCCCAACTTGTTGTAGTCGGTGTACCGATGATCCAACTACTTTCCGTCTTTGTTGGTGGAGTTATGGTAATGCGTTTGGCTGAACCACGCGTCACCTACCACCCGGACTCAATGGTGTCCTGTGATTTTCCAATTGATTCAAGCTATTGGAACTCAAAAGCCACCCATGAAGAGTGGCTTTTCCCAAGTTTCGAGATGTTTTTGTCATTTCTTGTCCATCCTTTAAACTTTCATCCCAACAAGTTTAGCACTGAGTAAGATTGGACTGTTCCATCGATTGTTCCATCACTTGCTCAGCTCTACAGGGACTGGGTGTCTCTGAAAAAGTAGGGAAAACGGGGAAAACACCGAAATCCACTGGTGATCCATGGGTTTGAAAATTGAAATGATCGTTTTTGCGAAGTATCCCTCATCTTCAGACACACAAAATATCAGATTGTTAGTTACAGTATATATCCCATCATATTCTCATAAAATATCATAAAAATGGTTCGTTGTCCTATTGAAGTTCGATTAAGTGCCATGAAAATCCCATTGGAAAACCACTCACTCCCCATATAGTGGGGGTTATATTCCCTTTATGTCGTCAGATTTACATATGTTTCTTCATTTTCTTCCTTGGAGGATCATCCCACGTAGTGATTGGTTAAGAGCCATGCTTAAGACCCATCTAAATTAATGGGATAACCCCACTGAATGGGGACTTACGATCACTAGGCTTATTAACCACTTCCAATTCGTGGGATATAGTCTTAGTCAGTGATATTCCCATTATAATCCATCATTTTTTCCATATGTTTCCATCTTTTTCCACACATTTCCCAGGGATTTTCCCCATTTCCCCATGGTTTTTCCCTCGTTCCCGCGCCTTGACCGCGGCTCTCCGCCGCTGCCGCTGCATCCAGCGCAACAAGAAGCGTTGCAACGGGCCCTGGAAGGCCTCCCGGGAGAAGAGCTGCCCCAGGCGGCGCCAAAGAGCCACCTGCGGATACTACAAGGACGACAGTGAGAAATCACCGTGGATTTCACCAAGGAAAACTTGGGGATATATATATATATATACACATGGTGAATGATTGTTAAAGTTGCTAAGTTTCATATAAAAAACTATCTGAACGATGGACAAAAACTTGATTCGTTGCATGTGCTTCAGAAGGTGGGGCTAAACATAAACCACCACAGTCCCGGGACGAGTCAAGGATCTTTAATGGGAGATCTGAGTCTATCGTATGCTGGGAATATGTCAGAACCATGGTATGAAAAGGGACCCTGTGAAATAATGGAAATTTAGCAATGATAAAGAATGGTAAAACATGGTATAACTATAACGGTATAAAAAGGGGATACTCTTGGATATTTGATGATGGGACCAACAATAACCATCAAGCCAAGATTTAAATATCCTAAAAAACAACCATAATTTTCAGATCGAAGGGATTCAAGTGGGGTTGTATTAAAACCCGGTATCTTTTTCAATGATCAAAATCACGTTATCGTTTTAATTTGCAAATAAAACAAATTATTCGAAACGATGCATATACATAAAATTCAATACCCAAGAAGTCCTAAGACCTCAAAAAGTACATCCTTGCGAAAAGTGGTCCTAAAAAGGGTTGTCGCCGAGGATTCATAGCAATGCCGAGGATTCCCCGGCCGAGGATTTTATAACTTTGCCGAAAACTTCTACAGCCGAGGGTTTGTAGAGTTGATAAAACTGTGCCGAAGATTCTACCGCCGGGAGTTTATATAGTAGTGCCAGTAGTGCTAGACGTTTTGTTTCACCATATGCAATCCCACTGAGGCAGCTGACAAGCATAGTTTTTCCAAGTTCAATGCTTGTGCCGTGCTGATTTACTGTTTTCGTTTTCTGGCCTGGACATTCAACCACAAAATGTCAAACCTGTTTTTGGATGTGTTTGTTTTGTTTTGAGGTGGTGAACCAGCGGGAAAATTACAAGTGAACGACTTTTTATTGTGAAATGTTGTCATCAAGAATGGGCTGCTCAAGCTTGCTCACGCTTTGCTCACGTTTTGCCCACGCTTGCTCACGCTTTGCTCACGCTTTGCTCACGCTTTGCTCACGCTTTGCTCACGCTTTGCTCACGCTCGCCGAGGTTCCTTTTGAATCCTTTAGGTTCCTTTTGAGTCCTCACGAGGTTCCTTTTGGGTCCTTACGAGGATCTGCTCACGGTTTGCTCACGGCTTGCTCACGGTTTGCTCACGGCTTGCTCACGGTTTGCTCGCGCTGCTCACGCTTTGCTCATGCTTTGCTCACACTTTGGGGGGTGATGTGCCTATCTTGATGAAGAAGCCCATAAGCAAACCATGCCATTTTTTGTTGTTCCGAGCCATGTGTACCTAAGGCACACAGCTTTCAGGCTGCAGACTCCTTGAAGCTGATTTTCAAATCTGAAAAAAAAACACCCACATGCCACTCACAACCCTTCGCTGAAGCGGGGTTGCCACACCCCTGCCTCAGCCTGAGATATGTATGTGCGACGTTCCTTTTGAGCCCAAAGGACTCAGAAAGTACATCCTATATTATGGTATTATGACATGTTCCTTTGTAGCCCAAAGGGCCCAAAAAGTACATCTATAGATGGTATTGTGCAACGTTCCTTTTAGGCCCAAAGGACCCAAAAAGTACATAGTCCCAACTACGCTGAACATGTTCCTTTTGGGACCACTTTCCACGAGATCTTATAGGACCTCAAAAAGTTGTCCCTTAGACTTGCTGGGATAGAACATATATATGTTTATGTATACATATATGATATATGTAGTACATGTAGATACATATATATATATATATTCTTTTCACTATTTTGAGGATGTCTTCTAAAGGGCGGGTAGCATTCAAATTTGGTGTTGGTTGTTTGCCTCTGCAAGGCAAAGCTATCAAAGGTTTCAGCATTGCGGTGCATCTTTTTGTTTCGCAGCCTCTTTAGCAAAAGTGCGCCGGGCTTCCTGTGCTGAATCGGCGGCTCTCAAAAGTCTGATCTATCTGTAGTTTTTCAACCTTTGTGGCAAAGCGGCATTCAATGCAGCCGCGCCGCCACAGGTCAGGTCTGATCCATCTGCTGTTACAGCCTCTGTCATTGAACTCGTTTTCGCATCGGCCGGGAGCGCAGCAGCCTGATCATCCAGCCCGGGAGACGCCAGTTGGCCCTCCACCATTACCGCAAGAATTCACGCAGGCTTTCCAGCTGCTGCCACGACACGGTGCCGAAGAGCGAGGCGTGCAAGTAGACGACCATGACATGGACCAGCTCCGTGGCTGTGCAATCTCGCTAGCCAGGTGTAGCCAGTGCACCAAAACAGCCACGGCGAAGGGCCTGGACGTGGAAGCATCCTGCCGTTTCTGAAGGCTCGTGGTTGTGCTGGACACTGAACCGCAAACGGCTCCAACTTGAGCACTTGATGCTGCATATCAACCGTTGTGCCGCTCTGCGCTGAAAGGTGCTAACATGATCACACATTGTTTTCATGTCCGACGCATGTCTGAATCTTGCAAACGACCAATTATTATATTGTCTGGCACGACTTGTCTCTTTTCCTTCTCCGCGGGCTTTTCCTATTGGCTGCTCGCCGCAGCCGCTTCCGGGCTATCCTGGCAGTGCCAGCATGAACCCAAAAAACGACTCAAATGCCTGAAAATCATGTTGTAAGAGGATGCAAGAGGCACTGAATATGAAATATGTAATTATGTTTCACCCACACCTCAGCCATTTCTGTTCACTTTCCCTTTCCTTACCACTGCACCTATGTGCTTTCTAGGAGGACCTGTATTTTTCGATATGTTTGTGCATGGTGCATGCATGGACCATCATTTTTGACACATTTTGACAATGTGGGATTGAGAGCATATGGGGGTTTGTACAAACCCCGAGCCCTTTCAAATGGTTTTTCCAGACGTTATCGTTTTTTCTCCTCTTATCGTTTTCCAAGCGCTGGCTTCACACCTTGATCAAAGAATTCACATGAGCGAGGAAAGGGAAAAGGAAAAGGAATAGTAAAGGAAGGGAAAGGAAAGAATAGGAAAGGGAGAAGAAAAGGAAAGGGAAAGGAAAAGGAAAGGGAAAGGAAAAGGAAAGGAAAAAGAAAGCGAAAGGAAAAAGAAAGCGAAAGGAAAAGGAAAGGAAAACGAAAGGAAAAGGAAAGGGAAAGGAAACGAAAAAGGAAAGGAAAAAGGAAAGGAGAAAGAACAGGAAAAAGGAAAGGAGAAGGAAAAGGGAGAGTAAAGGAAGAGTAAAGGAAGAGACAGGAAAAAGTAAAGGAAGGGGAGAGAGGAAAAGGAAAAAAAAGCTGTGTCTGACACGGACCATTTTTGATGCCAAAAGTTATCGTTTTCGTTATCGTTTTGTTATCGTTCGTGTGTGTGTGTGTAACATCTGAATAGATGTAAAACTTCTCTCTTTTTCTTTCTTCTTTCCTCTCCCTTTCTAATAACAATGATAATAATGCAGGGGGATGAGGGTCCCTTGGTGTGCCTCATCTAACAAAGACCGCACCAAGTGGACGTGATATCAGTGTCCGGCCAGCACTGACGTACCTGCACCTTTATATTCTTTACGCTGTTGGTTTATATGTCAAAGACTCCTGTGACCTTTACTGACGTGGCAAGGGGCTAAGCCAAAAAAAACAATAAACAATGTAATAAACAATCTAATAAAATGATTTTATTTCTTCACGGTTGCATGTTACAGGACTCAGTTCCTGACTGATCTTTTCAAAGATCCTTTCTTGTCTAGTGTGATTCCTATGGTGACTCCGACAAGGTGCCATAGGGCCAATGGAGGCAACCCCTTTGTGGACAGTCTTGACTTCCGAATTCACACATTTTAACTTAGTAATTCGTTTAAGTAAAGTGAAACAGTTGGCCTTCGGTTATGCACCTTTTTTACAAAGTCCCGCCGATCCTGCTCTCCCTTGAAAACCCTGGTGAAAAATTGTCTTCTCTGAGTGAAGCCAATCGGAACAACCAGAAACTCCTTTTGTGTCGCTGCTGCTTTTATACTTTTATTGCTGGTGGTTTATATGTCAATGACTCCTGTGATTTATACTGACGTGGCAAGGGGCTAAGCCAAGAACCCCAACAGAAGGCAACAGGCACATGCTTTCCAGGTGTGGTTTTTTCTCTTTTGATGGTTTTCTGGTGAGGTCCAACATATTGTGCACCTAATTCCATGGAACTTGAAAGCCGTTTATGCCATTGCGGCACGACTTGACCACGGTCCCGGCAAGGGAATAACGCACGACCTCTAAGTATCTAGGAACTGCGTCTTGTTTTTAAATTAATTGTTTTGGTTTCTCTCGCTTGCCATTAACTAGTCCCCCATTTGGTCCCTAATTACCCTCCCTTCGCGGCTTCTCCGTAATGTGTTGTGGGGTTATAGGTGTGTGCCCTGTTCCTTGTCAGGTCCGTTTCGCCGTGTAGGTTGGTTCCGGAGGTCCGTCTGTTCCCTTCCCCCCCCTGCGCTGTTTTGGTGTTGGCCCGTCGTTTGTGTCCGCTTTTCTCTTCCTCTTGCCTTTCAGGGTTGACCCGGCTCGGGCCGGGTGTGTGTGTGTGTGTGTGTAACATCTGAATAGATGTAAAACTTGTCTCTTTTTCTTTCTTCTTTCCTCTCCCTTTCTAATAACAATAATAATAATGCAGGGGGATGAGGGTCCCTTGGTGTACCTCATCTAACAAAGACCGCACCAAATGGACGTGATATCAGTGCCCGGCCAGCACTGACGTACCTGCACCTTTATATTCTTTACGCTGTTGGTTTATATGTCAAAGACTCCTGTGATTTTTACTGACGTGCTCTTTATGCTCTTAATGCTGTTGGTTTATATGTCAATGACTCCTGTGATTTATACTGACGTGGCAAGGGGCTAAGCCAAGAACCCCAATAAACAATCTAATAAACAATCTAATAAAATGATTTTATTTCTTCACGGTTGCATGTTACAGGACTCAGTTAGATCTTTTCAAAG